TGAGTACTATATAAAAGTGACAGGAGCAACTCAAACATTGCTATTGGCATCTGGGAACACACAATTGTATTTGCATTGTTGATATTTTCGCATATACATAGTATGTTTTTGTTTTCTGAGTAACCAATTATTTGGTAGTTAGATTTGCTCAACTTTGATGTTCTTATGCCCCTTATCCAAAGTTGGACTACACTTCAATTGATAAGAGTACTATTTACTCATACTTTTAAAAATCTACAGCGTATCAAATCCTGTTAGTAATTCAAATCAAAAAGTGTTTTTTTGACATCTTAACCTTTTTCTGAGAAACTTTTTGAAAGATGAAAATTCTGTGTGTTTTTATGTGATTAATGTGTTGTTAATTTTGTTGATTTCTTCAGTTATTACTGCTTATTTGTAAGTTCTAGTATATTTCCTACACAACCCAACCTGGCAAATTAAATCCACACAAGGAAATAGTTTAACTGATAGTATTCATATCCACCATTTTGAATACTCTGTAACATCTAAGGTGAAGATAATATGCAAGTATACCATACTATACAGTCTGATTAGTTGGTTTTCATTTTATTCTTCTCCCTTCTACAACTTTCTGAGTTGCAAGAAGTGTAAGTTCATAAGTGTAAATTTCTATGGAGTTCCAATATATCAAACTCACAAGAAAAACATTAAAGGTGTGAAGAGAAGTTGTCATATCCGAATTGAGAGCAAATTTTGATTGGTGCTTATCAAATCAAACAAAGTCTGGGCAACAACCTCGACTAATTCAGTAGGCTTGGCGCCTTATCCTTGCAATTTTTTGTCAAAGATATATACATCTTCACGACACAGATGAAAGGCTCAATTCACTCGCTGTAGGCTCTTAGGGATAAATGGAATCCACTCAACTTTATACTTCGATACTAATCACAGAAGAAGGTTACATCTTCGATATGAAAAGTAAAGCCAGGTTGGCAGTGAAACCCGTAGGCCAAAATGGGACAAATTCGGTAGAAAGAGACATCATACTAAACCAATTACTGGTGTATTGTACAAGCATGCATGCAGAATCTATTAAATACAGAGTATAAGCTAGGCGAAATCAATTTGTTCAACTACTTACAGGAAACAATTTAAAGTGATGCATCGCAAACCCTAGTTTTTACAAAATGTTTTGCATCCATAAGGGTCGGTCTGCCGCTCGAAGGAAGCCCATATTGATGAACAGTGAGAGACACAATATATTAGCTGCTCGTAGTTAACTTAATACTCCGTACAATATAAGATCAAAGCTGAAAGGGAAATGGCCTGCCAACTTGTGAAAACCTTTAGAAACTGAACCGTGGCCATGGCAGGTTAGAAGGCCCGACTATAGGTTGGAACGAGTAGAATCTTAGGGGAGGAAACATCTCCCGCCGAAATCACCTTGTTCATTGTTGATAGATTTGGGAAACAAGCGAATTTGGGAGGGAGGCGAAGATTGGAAAGGACCTAATTTCGGAAATTTGACATCTACGGTGAAACGTGAACAGTGGCGCGGGGGAAGTGAAAGGCTGGGGTTATTAAGCTGTTAAGAACGTTAATGTAAGTTAACATAAATCAAACGGAAAAAACGTGGGCACTAATAAGGAGTACAATGTTTAAAATATAAAGTACAATTACATGTTGCTTGGTTTACCACCAACATATTTTTCATACCTAAATAGACCTTACCTTGATTGGCTTTTATAAGATTTTAGATTAGATATATATATATATATATATATATATCTATGAATATATAAAAAATGAATATGTGTCTAAATAATTTCATATCTTTTTTAATTACTTATTTCTTACATAGATTAATCTTTTACTACGAGTATCTTACAATATCAAACTTCTAAAACTATTCGGCATTTGTCCCAAAATGAATATTCGAGATCAAAACTAAATAGAGATTATTCTTGATCCCGACAATCTAAATCACAACAATATTACAAATTTTGCGGTTCTGATGAACCCTTTAAAAATCATGATCGAGGCTAAGATTTTTTTCTTTAGTAAATAATCATTATATGTATTTATACATTATATTCATTGGTCACAAAGTTTCTGAATGAGTCTACTTAGTTTTGAATTTTAAATAATATACTTTACACATCCTTCTTTTAGTGATTTTTATATAATGTTTGATGTAAGTTTCATTAAGCCTTGATAGCTTATTCAAAAATTATACTATTAATTAATTGAAGTTACAAATAAAAATTATTCTAAAAGTATGTACTAGTGTGAATTTGTGATGATAATTATTAGAATAAATTTTATAAGTAGATAGATGATGATAAATATGGTATAACAATGAACAAAGAATATCAAAGTTAGTGTTTAACTAAAGAAATTACATAATTTTATGTTTGATACTTCATTGTCGGGATTTAGCGGGATTAAGCGGGATTCCCGATCGGCATCCCGACTTAGAAGTTGTTCTGTTCATCTTATTCTTATTACTTATTGCTTATTCTTATTTTATTCAGATCAGATCAGAAAAATTCAGATCTGATCAGATCAGATCAGAAAGATTCAGATCAGATCAGATCAGAATCATTCGGATCAGATCAGAAAGATTCAGATCAGATCAGACCAAATCAGAAACATTCAAATCAGATCAGAAACATTCAGATCAGATCAGATCAGAAAATTTCAAACATGATTTATCACTTTTATTATTATAAAATAATAATAATAATAATAATAATAATAATAATAATAATAATAATAATAATTATATTATTAATATTATGATTATTTTTTAGGTGATTATTATTATTATTATTATTGTTGTTGTTGTTGTTGTTGTTGTTGTTGTTGTTGTTATTATTATTGTCGTTATTGTTATTATTATTATTATTATTATTATTGTTGTTGTTGTTGTTGTTGTTGTTGTTGTTGTTGTTGATGTTATTATTATTGTTATTATTGCTATTATTGCAATTATTACTATTATCATTATTGTTATTACTATTTTTACTATTATAATTATTATTTTTATTAGCTTTATTATTATTATTATCACTCCATGTTATTATAAATATTATTATTATTATTATTATTATTATTATTATTATTATTATTATTATTATTATTATTATTATTATTATTATTATTATTATTATTATTATTATTATTATTATTATTATTATTATTATTATTATTATTATTATTATTATTATTGTTATTATTATTATTATTATTATTATTATTATTATTATTATTATTATTATTATTTATTTTTATTATTATACAGAGTAATTATAACTATAGAAATAATTATAATTAAAAATATAATTACAATTATAATTATAGCTATAATTATAATTAGTGTAGTATGTATAATTTTTTAAAACTTTAATTATAATTATAATTAAGATTATAATTATGATTATAATTTTGTAGAATTATGACTATAATTATAAATTATATTTAAATTATAATTATAATTAAAGAAATATTTAGATCAGATCAGAATGAGTCAGATCAGATCAGATCAGAAGGATTCAGATCGGGTCAGAAACATTCAGATCAGATCAGACCAGATTAGAAAGATTCAGATCAGATCAGAAAAATTAAGATCAGACCAGATCAGATCAGAAAAATTCAGATCAGATCAGATCAGAACTTAATAAATTCAGATCAGAAACATTCAGATCAGAGGAAGAGAACAGCTTCTTATTCGGGATTTTAATGTCGAGATCCCGACTTAATCGGGACGGGATACGGGATCCTCTTGTAGGTTGAATCGGGATCGGGACGGGAGCGGGATTTGGGCAATCGGGATCAGGATCATCCCGATCCCACCCCTAGTCTAAAGTAGAAGTGGAGACAGACGCTCTACAAGTGCTCTCACGACTTTCAGAAGACAACGGAGATTCTTACTTTGATCTTATTATTGATGACATTAGACACATACTTCAATCTGAAGCTAGTTTTTCAGTCAGGTTTTGCAGACGATCCGCGAACCGAGCAGCCCATGCACTTGCAAGGGCAGCCGTTTCCCGTGCGGGTGGTAAATTATTATTTAGTTCTATTCCGAATTGTATCTGCAATAGGGGTGGGGAAAAATACCGAAATTTCGGTATACCGGATTTACCATATCGAAAAATACCGAATTTGCCGAAATGATTGGTATACCGACACTTTTGGTATGGTATGATGCCGTACCGAATTATTTCGGTATGGTATCGGTATATATTTTGGAAATAAACGGTATACCGGTATACCGTCATACCGTAATTTCAAGCCAATAATTTCCTTAAAATTATAAAAATTACTAGAAACACAACACTAATTCAAGGATAAAAGACTTTATGTCCATGTTTCTTGAATTATTTATACTTTTTATTGGAGATCAGTGTTATTTTAATTATATTTATGTTGTTTAACTTATTTTAGCAGAATGTGTTTTTATCTTCATATATCATGTGTTGAAATATCTATACATTTATAATATTTTTAGTCAAAAGTTGAATCATGTTTCTTGAATTATTTATACTTTTTGTTGGAGATCGGTGTTATTTTAATTATATTTATGTTGTTTAACTTATTTTAGCAGAATGTGTTTTTATCTTCATATATCATGTGTTGAAATATCTATACATTTATAATATTTTTTGTCAAAAGTTGAATAGAAGTATAGAACACAATAGGTTATCTCATTGGTATTTTATAATTAATTTCATTAATGATTTTAGTATATCACTATTAACACTGATTTTATTTATTTCATTTGACATATAATAATTTGTTATATTAAATAATGATAATTTACCGATACCGTACATTACCGTACCAAAATTTCGGTATACCGAAACAAGGTATACCGAAATTTCGGTATGGTAATGGTATGTATTTTTGCATACCAAAAGTTTATGGTATGGTAAATGTATGCGATAAAATATTCGGTATACCGTACCGAACCACCCCTAATCTGCAATCATGTAGCGAATGATACCTTAATTCATTAATAAAAGCTGGTATTTTAATTGCAAAAAAAAAAAAAAAAATTCAGAAATGGATAAAAAAGCAAAAGGATATAAATTTGTGTTCGTCCCCAGTTCAGTCTGGTTGCTTCACCTCGGTTTCTCTCCTTTCTTCTTCTTCTTCACAATTCACCTCTGCTTAGGTGGTGCGTGGCTTTGTTTTCAAGCATTAATATCCCCCGAAATATCTAGTGAAAATCAACCGTCCGAAGGTAAAAATCTCTAAGTTAAATTTCCGGTATAAATAGTAAATAGTTATACATAAATATGTTTCAAATGCATATATCGTGATTACTTCCGACGGGAGCTCTCACTGAGAAGAAATGTATGTTAAAAGTGGGGAAGAGCATGAGTATGTCTATGTGTGTAAACACACACTGACGCAATCTTTTTGGTTTTATATATTTCTACATTTCTATCATATCTTTGCTTTTTGGGTTTGATCTACCTTTGTGTAGGGTAAAACTAGTGTTCACCTGAAAATTTGTTGAGGCCTGTATTTAGATGTGAAATTTAATAATGAGATATGTTTATAGATCATCTGCCTGCTTTTAAGTAAACCACTTAATTCGTATGAATATCCTGCTTTTTCTGTTGAACTTGAAATTCATATCGCTTTAGAAATTAGAACTTCTAGCTTACTTTGCGTCCAAAGCATTGGGTCTGGCTCACTGCAGTTTCGAGGGACTGAAAATGAAAAAAATGAAGTTCAATAAGTTCAGGCATCACTTCTAAAATTTTATCACTTAAGTCATTTCATGCCCTGAATTTAAAGATGACTGTTTCATGTTTACAGTCTCTTGGTCAAGATGACACCTGTTCGCCCTTTCATTAGGGCTGCTCAACCTGGTGAAATATCCATTCAGAAACCCAATGAAAGTCAAAATGAACAGCTTGATGACCTTGAAAACAAGCCCATGAAGGAATCTGGGGAGCCAGCTATACTGCCATCCAAATGCCCGTTTGGGCATAAACAACAAGATGGAAGTGAAAACGATCATAAGCAAGAGCCAGGGGAGCATGGAGCGGTGTCATCCAAATGCCCCTCTGGGCATATACGAAAAGCTAGCAGTGATAACAAGTCTAAACAGGAGGCTGGGGCTGGTATTGTTTTACCAAAATGCCCCCTTGGATTTGATTCTCAAACATTTAAGCTCGGTCCTCTTAGTTGCATGGTTTGCCAAGCACTTCTTTATGACTCCAGCAGATGTGTTCCCTGCTCTCATGTATTTTGCAAGTAAGATGGAATGTATTATATTATCAATTTGTTTTAGATATTTCCCACCCCTCTTATCCAAGCGCTGGCGATTCCTCATTCCTCTAATAATATCATTGTCTAATTGTCTATATGATACCAGAGTGTGCATATCACACTTTAAGGACTGTCCATTGTGCGGAGCTGATATTGAGAAGATTGAAGCTGACACAAATCTTCAAACTACTGTTGATCGCTTCATTGAAGGGCATGCAAGGATAAAGCGGTCTCAAGTTACTACAGAGCAAGAAGGTATAGGAGAGAGGAGGGCAGTTATATATGAAGACATTTCTTTGGAGAGAGGCTCTTTTCTGGTGCATCATGCCATGCGAGTAAGATTTTGGGAGTTTTCAGAATTATTTTTTTGCATTATTCTTTCTACATTTCATTCATTAAGCTGTAGTTGCTGATTTAATATTTACGGTAGGCATTCCGTGCGAATAATATTGAGAGTGCGAAATCAAGACTGAGCATATGCGTGGAAGACATTCAAGAACGGGTAAAAACATTGGGAAACACGTCAGAATTGTGCTCACAGCTTGGAGCAGTTCTGGGTATGCTTGGTGATTGCTGGTATGATGGTACCCAGTTGTTCCTTTTATTTCTATTTTATTTAATCATGTAATTTAGTTTGTGTTTCATAATTTGCTTTCAGTGGTTTTAGAGTAGAAACATGCACTCTCAGAGCATCACACTAATTTGATTGACCACAGTATGAAGGGGATAAAATTATGTCACCTAACATTCTTCACATATGGCACTCAAGATTCACATGTAAAAGAAAAATGTAAAGAGACTTACATGGAGTCAGTTCCACATGACACCAGAACACATCCCTCTGTAGATGCCACCAAACCATGTACCGCACCTTGGTGCCCACAGAAGTGACACATTGCTTTCCTTTTACAATTAAGGAGAAGTGTTAAATCAAATAAAATAGTCACATTATTTGCTTGACGACTCAAAATGAGTTCTACAAGCAAAAAGTGAATGGCAAAAAATATTCATTTGCCACCTATTTATGCACTAGAACAGAGTACTCTTCAACTCTATGAATTAAAGCATTAAATTCCTAGCATACTTAATTACCACAATTACATCTATTCGAACAGGATCATCACCTGTTAGCTATATCCGAAAGGCGAATATTTGCAAGCAAAGCCAAAGATAGTTTAAAATCCAATAAATTTTAAAAGAAAGAAAATGAAGAGCTCAAATAATAATAGTTTGTCAACACTAAATAGCAGCAATACTCATTCCAGTTAACAACGCATTGAGAGATTACACTAAAAATATGGATTTCTTTTTACCATCGATGGTTGAAATTTCAAACTCAATCCCATCCCAGCCCCAGTTTTGTAATGTAAACAAAAACTCTGCAACCTATTTACGACTTGTAATAATGCAGCCGAGCAACCGGGGATGCTGCATCTGCAGTGAACTATTTTGAAGAGAGTGTCAACTTCCTCCGGAAGGTGCCTAAAGATGATTTAGAGGTTGGTATCTTATATTCTTATGGTGCAAAGTACATGAGAGTCTAATTGTGTAGACCGATCTTAATATTTATCTATGTATATCTACTACACAGATGTATTTTCTCCATTGCTGTCATGCTCTGAGACCTGTCTTCCCCAATTAACTCCTAGCCTGGGCACTAAACCTTACTTTGGCGTTTAAGAGTTTATTGACTTTAGCTTCACCTAAGTATACAGAGATCCCGCTTATTCCTGATTAATGTCTGACTGGGCTCATAACTCCAATCCGCTGCCTAGCGGATGCCTAGCTTTATATTTTCTTTTAAAACACTGATTTTTGCAAATCTAGGCCTAACTAAGCCTAAAAGAATCCTCAAGAAGCTTGACTTAGCAGCTATATACCAGACTCAACTCTGTAGTCTGTAGGCAACATATGCAGGTTACCTGAATGTCTAGACAAATATGTCCCAATTGGTCGCCCAAGCCATTGAGTGGACGGGTGCCACACTAATCACCACTGGACAAGAGGCCATGATAAATTGGGCCTGACTCTCACACCCAAGGGATCCTCAAGATTTGAGTTTAATTCATACATATATTGGATAGGGGGTAACTTTCAAGATGGGATTCTCAGCAACTTTTTTGCGTATATTCATATATGCCGAATTGGCAATAACCTACTATATTTTATACATCTCCCTACCTTACCTTATTTCTATATATTTGTAGATAACACACACACTTTCTGTGTCTCTAAATAAAATTGGAGATCTCAAATACTATGGGGAAGACTTGCAAGCTGCAAGAGCATATTATTTTCAAGCACTGGATATTAGACGCAATGCCATCAGGCAACATTCTCTACCATCTCAGGTCAGCTAAACTCTTTCTTTATTACTTTAATGGATGGACATCCATAATCAAATTACTTTGAAACTCATATTGACACTGACACACTGTGTTTGTTGTGTGTTACATGTTCGAGAAAAGAGCGGTAACCTCAAGAACTCAATATATATTGTTGAGGTTACCACTCTTTTTGTAACAACTCATATTTAGACACTAGAAATAGAATGTTTTTACTTCAAAATGACAGGATTGTATACTTTTTACATATTTTAATGCATGTTTCTTTCCAATAAAAAACGTTTTACTATTGATTGTTTAATGACATAAGCTCTATGACGTGCACTTTGTCGTTGTGTGCAATCAAAATAAATACAATACAACAAATATACGTAGTATATTGAAGTAAGGTTCGTATCCGCATGGAAAGGAATACTTCTCTTTTTATAAACTAATTAATAAAGGGGGGGTTTTGATTGAATGATTTAATTAAAATTGAACACGAAGATGAACGAGTTATGTGGTTTAATTAATGAGAAGAAGACTTGGCTTTGCTTTTATCCACTTAATGAAATGTTCGTCGATCCCGGTTATATCTTTAACTATCTTCCTCTCGAATACTCAATCGAGGAGTATATCCAATTCATCGAGGGTAGTTATTAATAACGAGAAGCGTTCATTAATAAAACTTACTATCGAGTCAATATAGAACAAGCGCCGTATATTAACTTGATAGTAGCAATAAACTTAAGATGAAAACGATTGAGATTGATAACCTCAACACAAGCGGTTTATTGGTTTAATCAATATAATTAATTCCCCTTAGATTATTAACCATGAGATGCATGCATTAATAATCCAAGTTTACTACCATGAAAGGACCGAATTAATAACAAGCGTATTAATCGACCGATTCTAGTATTAATTAATATATGAAACAAAACTAGTTGACCCTTTAAGTAATGTTCAAAATATTAATATGAAATATGAATAGGAATTAATTAATACTCAAGAAAGAATATTAAAGAAGATGAATCCTACTATTGTTAATATCAAGATGTTAACTAATTGTCATCTTAGTAACACTCCCCAATATTAACGTAGAGGAAGAAATAATTATTACTATAACTAATGTCAAGATGTTAACTAATTGTCATCTTAGTAACACTCCCCAACATTGATATAGAAATAGTATTTAAAGGAAGAATTAATATTCAAGGAAGAAGATTAAAGAGAATAACTCACAACTTACAAATTCATTAAGCTTCAAAGTAGCAAAACCAAGATGGAAGAGTTTAGTTCCTCATTTGGAGACTAAACATACTATAAAAATATAAAAGAAATACTATTCTAAACTGAGCTTAAGAGCATGGAAGAAGGGATGCTTAAAAGTGAAGGAAAATGGGGCTATTTATAGGTGTTTTAAAGGTGCTGCACCGGATACCCGACCGGGTATTTGAGATACCCGACCGGGGTATTTGTCAAAATCAAATATTTTGCCCACGATTTTGTGTTTTCTGCACGTCTTTTTGTCCGGGTCACTTCATACCCGACCGGGGTAAGTCACCAAATCACATTTCTTGCATGATTTCTTGTTCCCTTGCACTTTCCTTTGATCTTGTAAGATCCCTTCCATGATCCTTTGTTGATTCTTGATTGTTTCTTGCTCAAGATGATTCTAAATTTACTAAATTACAACAAACTAGAAAAATAAAATGATTGCACCTTAAATGTGCAATTACCACAACAACACACCATAAAAAGTAATTAAAAGTAAAAATATAAACACTCAAAAATCAATGCAATCACTCTACAGTCATCATTCTTTTTACATCATTCTTTTTATTTCTTTCAATGGATGTCCTTAAGATAGAACTCAATATATAGTGTTGTAATGTTTTGTGTTTGTTATTTGAATACTATTCCATAGTCAAATGTGAACATACACATCACACTTTCATTTGGTAATGGTAAAATTTGGCTAAGTTGAAGATGTGTCAAAAATGACGGAATGAGCCTGAACTACTTAAAATAAAGGGAAAAGTGTCGTTTTCTTTCATTTTAGTAAAAATAAAAAACTTTCGCAGCATATTTCTTCTATTTTCTAACTGATTTGGTGTTGGTAAAATTCTTCCCCGATATGGCTGATAAGAAGAAAGGTTCTTCTACCAAATGGGACACATACTATTTATCAAGAATAACTTTTACAAAACTTATCACAAGGTGAATGAATTATAACTAAAGGAGTGAAGGAGTGTTTCCAATTGCTTCTAAAAAAGTAGTTTTCAGCTTTTTGTTTATAAAAAAGTTAAACCTAGTGTTTTCAAAGAGGTGCTTCTACTTAAAGTTAATCCGCTTCAAGTTAAAAGCTATAAGCAGGGGGGGAGGTGCTTCAAGTTTAAACTGTTTTTCAAACATTTAGGGCCTGTTTACTAACAGAAATATTTTCCTGTTTTCTACTTCTGTTTTTCGTTCTCCAATTTTCTGTTTTTATTTTTCAGTTTTTCTATCTCCAATTTTCTGTTTCTATTTTTTAGTTTTCCATTTTCAAATTTGAAAACATGTTCATCAATTTTTTCACACAGTTCTCCAATTCCACACCCTTGACCCCTACCTCTACCCTTACCACGATCTTACACTCCACCCATACTCCACCACAACCCTTCATACCCACCCATACCTACTCGTAGGGGTTGGGTAGGGAAGTTATGGGTGGGAGTGGGGTAAGGGGTATGGTCGGGGTGGGGTGGTAAGGTCTAGGGGTAGGGGGTTGGGTGGGGGTAGTGGGTGGGTTAGGGTCGTGGTTAGGGTTAAGGGTGGGGTAGTGGGTAGGGTTGGGGTAAGGTAGGGGTAGGGTAGGTAGTTGGGATACGATGGCGGTAGGGTGGGGTCGGGACTTGGGTGGGGCCGGGGTAGGGAAGGGGTAGGATGACGGTAAGGGTGGGGGGTAGTGGGTAGGGTTTGGGGTTGGGATAAGATGGCGGTAGGGTGGGTCGGGACCGGGGTAGGGAAGGGGTAGGGTGGGGGGTAGGATGGCGGTAAGGGTGGGGGTAGTGGGTAGGGTTTGGGGTTGGGGTAAGGTAGGGGTAGGGTAGGGAGTTGGGATAGGATGGCGGTAGGGTGGGCCCGGGATCCGGGTGGGGCCGAGGTAGGGTAGGGTGGGGGTAGCATGGCGGTATGAGGGTGGGGGGTAGGATGGCGGTGGGGTGGGGCCGAGGTAGGAGGCATGTGGTAAGGGGTAAGGTAGGGGTAAGTGGTAATATACGAGGGGTGGGAGTAGGGTAGGGTGGGTCGGGGTGGGGTCGAGGTGGTAGGGGTGGCGGTAGGGTAGGGTGGATCGAGGTGGGTTCGAGGTGGTAGGGGGGTGGCGGTAGGGTAGGATGGATCGGGGTGGGGCCGAGGTCGGGGCATGTGGTGGGGGTGGGGGTTGGGTAAGGTCATTATAGGAAAAAATGGGTACGCGGGGTGGGGGTTGGGTGGGTAGGGTAGGGTAGGGGTAAGGGGTAAGGTACGAGGATGGAGGTACCGGAATGGAATCGACATCGGAGCGGGACCGGATCCACCACTAGGTGTAAGTATGCAAATTCATTGCAAAGGCACTGTAGCATCTGCGTTTTCCAAATTTGGAAAACTAGTAAAAGTCACTTCTCCAAATCATTAAGGAAAAGAGAGACATGTTTCATTTTTTCCGTTTTGGAAAACGATTTGGTAAACGCGTTTTTCTTTTTTCCTTTCTCCAGTTTTCCAGGAATATCTTTGGTAAACACGTTTCCTGTTTTCTGTTTTCCAGTTTTCCAGTTTTCTAGAAAACTGGAAAATATTTCTGTTAGTAAACAGGCCCTTAACTTTTACTTTTTAAAATCACTTTGTATTCAAACACTATCAATTTTGTATGCAATTTTCGACACGAATTTCACTATGGGTCATCGGGAAACAGTCTCTCTGTGCTTTAGTACAGGGGTAAGACTGCGTACATCCAACCCCCCTTACCCCATCGAAGATGGGAGCCTTTGCGGCACTGGGGTAATGATGATGATGATGACATATAATTTCAAAAATAAATCACTTCTCAAAAATAGATGCAAACACAAATGCTCGTTTAAGCAAACACAAATGCTCCTTCTCCCACACCATCTACTCTCCTGTGATGTTTTAAAGTAAAAAAGCTATAATCTTTTCCCCCATCTGTTAATGTGTCTCATCTTGTTCCCTAATATCACTGTTCCAGATCATAGATGTTGCTGTTTCCCTTGCAAAAGTTGCTGATGTGGATAGAAATCTTGGGATGGAAAAAACAGCAACAGAGGGCTTTCAAGAAGCGATAGAAATGCTGCAATCTATGAAACTGAATCATGAAGAAGCTGACCTTGATCAGCGAGTATGGTTCATTTCTGCCTTGTATTCTTGTCATAAGTCATAATTAGTGTGTATAATCTGCCGCTGCCCTCTTACCCTTACCAGACCTTTTTTTGTCTAGTTCTTTTATGGACATGAAACGTGGAAAACACAACACGGCAACCAATAGTAGTTTATATTAGATATAAACTAGGACTGAACAAAACAAAAAAAAAAACTTCAAAGAAAAACCGACCGACAAACCGATCAAAACCTAACTTCCAAAAACCAATTTAATGATAGGTAAATGGTTTGCGCTCTCTGATAACCGTGACCAAAATGACCAAAAATGTGTAAGGTTCCACCTTCTTTTTTGAAAAATGCCAAGCAAGGGAAGATATGGAAAACACCTTCTAGGAAGGTGCCATTCAATATTGAGGTACTTCCACCTTCCTTCTTGGAAGTTGCTAGTAGATAACTAGGAACTTCCCTACCCCTGGAATGGAAGCTTGGATGTAACTTCCTCGCCTCTTATTGATGAGCCTATAAATAAGGAGTCGCTTGTTGTTCATTAGAATCAGAGAATGCTTGGTAAACACAAGTGTAGAGTGTTATTCATTTGAGTGTGAGTGAATGAGTGACTGAGAAAAGGTGAATGAAAGTTTAGGATTGTTTTTTTGTAGTTGAGTGAGCTTTGAGTGTGAGTGAATGAGTGACTGAGAAAAGGTGTATGAAAGTTTAGGATTGTTTTTTTGTAGTTGAGTGAGCTTGGCTCCTGTAATTTTGTTCTAGGTGTTGAATATTCTAGGTGTTGAATAGAAGAGTTTTCCAATCTTAACAAGTGGTATCCAAGCGTGGTTGAGCTTTTCATACACTTTTTTCAGTTCTTCTCCAAAAAAAACAATCGACAGTATGGAAAATCTTGTTTTTTCAGGTTGCTCGAAATCAAAATCTATCATACCATTAACTTTGTCTCGTCACGAAAAAAATCTAGTATTTTGCGGCAAACAACCAGCAACCTGAATCCACTGCACGCGCCAGTGAGTAGGGGAAACTCGCGGCACGCATTGCACGCTCCGTCTGAGGGAAGAAGATGACACATGTCATCACCATGTTAGTGCCAAGTCAACATCTGGTGACTTGGTTACCCATCTGGACCGTCGCCACGTAAGTTGCCATGTGGTCCCACGTCATCAACATGTCAGCCGCATTTGCGCCAGCTATCGCCATGTCACTGGCACCCGTGTCTGCACACTGGGCTGCTGACTGGACTGGACCGAACCAGTTTCTACTTCACAAGCCCGGTTCACCATCTCTGAGACGGTTTTGGAAGAAGGCAAACCAATGCCCACCATTATTCAACCATTTTAGATATAACCGTGAGCTCAAAGTGGCCTGGCTCTGCTTCGAAAGTAAGGTGCGAGAAATATTTTACACTTTATTATATGTAAATCATCATCGGCTACTATGATTGCGCCCATTTCCACAAATTACAATATGTGGAAACCTTGGGTGAAGGATTTGCTAAATTTAAAAGAGTTAGTTGATCCTCTTAATAATGGTGCTACACCGAACAGAAAGACAGACGAAGAATGGGCTAAAATAATCTGAAAAATGTTTGCACAAATTTGACAATGAATCGATCACAGTGTGTTTCACCATGTTGCTCAAGAATAGAGTGCTTACACACTATGGAAGAAGCTTACACGCTCAAGATAAAACATTACTAATGAGACGTTGATAAACCGCAAGTTACGTGATGGTATGAGGGTGTTTGGAGTTGATTCCACATTTGCTTCTTTTTTAAGAGCAGAAGTAGAATCCGAAGCTGGTCTCCCCCACTTCTAAAGAATTGCTTCTAAGAGTAATTTGGGACACTTAGAAGTACTTCTTCACTTTTACCCAAACACTTTGAAGGAAAGAAGTTGTAACTAATCAATCATATGCCCTCGTGTCAGAAACCAACATACGAGGGAGGGGTAGAAATGGAGGAAGAGGTCGAGGTAGAGGTCAAGGTAAAAATAGAGGAAGCTTCCAAGTTCGCAACAGATCGTGAGAACGAGGTATGTTTTTTGAGAAGAATACTTGGTTTGAAGGATTGTGGTCATTATGGGCATAGAAACAAAGATTGTAAAAAGGTATCGCGAGAGTAGCTCCAAACGAATCAAAATACGAGCCTAGACAATGGTGAGACTATGGTCACTATGACATCAGACACCATACTGGTTACATATGGTGAACAAGAATGTCTACATGTAGGTACTCATGATGTTGAGTGAGTGGTTGATACAGCCACATCATTTCACACCATTCTATATCAAAATCTATTCACGGTCTATAAGCTCGAAGACTTTAGAATCGTGAAGATGGGAAACACCAGCTTCTCGAAGATTGCTAACATGGGTGATGTGCACATAAGAATCAATATTGGATTATAGGCTCGAAGACTTTAGAATCGTGAAGATGGGAAACACCAACTTCTCGAAGATTGCTAACATGGGTTATGTGCACATAAGAATCAATGTCGGATGCACACTTGTGTTGAAAGATGTCTGACATGTTACAGATCTCAGATTGAATCATATCTCTGTTATAGCTCAGGATCATCAAAGATATGATTATTAAATCAAAGAAGGCATGCGTAAGTTATCTAAAGTTGTCTTGATTGTTACAAGAGGTCATATTTGTGATACTCTTTATAAAACTCATGTAAAGTTGCGTCGTCGAAGTCTTAATGTTGTTGAAGAAGAGACATCACCTAACTTGTGGCAGTGAAGGTTGGGCCATTTGAGTGTGAAGTGACTGACAACCATAGTTGTTACGGCGTCGCCTAGGCGCCGACTAGTCGTCCTGGCGGTGGAGGAGGGACGCCGCGCTCAACCGACTCGCCTGAAGGTGTCAAGGCGTAAGTTGGCGTCGATTAGGCGTCTGGAAGTCGTCCTGGTGACGCCCAGGTCCAGTTTCCAGGCCCGCCGGCCAGAATCCTAAGCCCTTCAACGTCAGTCAGGCCGCCGTCGCAGGTCGCCACCTCTGGTTGCTGTCGCAAGTCGCCACCCCTAGTCACCGTCGCTGGCTGCCGCCGCCAGTGCGGCTCCATCTTCTCCTTCGTGTTCCTGTTTTTTACAGTCGCTGCGGTCGTTTGCTTTACTCCACTTTGTTTATTTGAACTTATCTTTTATCTTTAGCCCATGTCATAAGTAGGGCTGGACTCGGGCCGGTTCGGGCCCGGTTCGGGCCTGGGCCAGGAAAGGGGAGGCCCGAGCCCGAACCGCCGGTGGCCGGTTCCGGTTCTGGTTCCGGGCCAAACCGGGCCGGGCCGAACCGGCCCAATTTTTTTTTTTTTGTTCTCCTATTTAATCCCCTACCCCTCCCCCTCAACCCCAAACCATCCCAAACCACCTCAAATGGCCCAAAATACCTAATCCAACCTAAAACTTTAAAAAAATTCAAAAAAAAAAAATTTAAAATCCGGCCCGGACCGAGCCCGAACCGGCCGGGCCGGTTCACCAAAACCTGGGCCCGAGCCCGGACCGCCCAGCACCCGGGCCGGGCCAAACCGAACCGGTGGACCCACCGGGCCACGGGCCGGGCCGGGCCAAACAGTGACCGGGCCGGTTCGGTCCCGGGTCGGGCCGCTCGGCCCGAGTCCAGCCCTAGTCATAAGGGTAAGGGTTTCTTACTGTACACTTTTTATTTACAGCTGGAGTCCATCTAATATCTATTTCCATCCCTTTTAATAAACGTCTGCTACACTTGCACTATTCTACAGATTATTACCTTTGTGGACATTTATATTAAACATTTGTTATAGATAAATAATTAAATTGTCAGATATTTTGTCATCGAGTATATCCTTTTACTTTGTTTTATATGTTTAATTTTAAAATTTATAATTTATTTATAATAGAAAGTATATGATTTCATTATATATGTATATTATAATAATATTATATATGAAGTGACTTGGCGCCTAGTTGGCGCCTAGGCGGGCGCCTAGACGCCTAGGCGATAAGGCAGTCCGTTGGCGCCGCGCCTCGCCTAGCCGTCGTGACACCGAGTTTTATTCAGTTCTACCATAAAGAATCATTCCGAGTTACTTAGCCTTGTCCACTCTATGTACGTAGACCTATTGAAGAGAGGTCACTTGGAGAAAACATATATTTTGTGACATTCATTGATGATGTACCATGAAAGGTATGGGCTTATTGTCTAAAAATTAAGGATCAAGTGTTTAATCGTTTCAAATTATTTTATGCCATGGTAGAAAAGAAACAAGGAAAAAGTTGAAGTATGGAGGAGAGTACACTCACATGGAATTCTCAGCATATTGCATTGTGCATGGAATCAAACGTGAGAAGACAGTTCCACGGACCCCAAACATAATGGTGTAGTTGAAAGAATGAATGAAACCATTATGGAGAAAGTTTGTTGCGTGCTCAGTATGGCTAAAACTACAAGTCATTATGGGGTGAGGTTGTGCTGAGAGTTTATTATTTATAAAACTACAACTTTGAAGAAATGGTCAGGGAGGCGTTTTTCACTCACTTGGCGTTTTTCACTCACTTGGAAGTGTTCGGGTGCAAGGCATTTGCACATGTATCCAAGGAGTTGAGACAGAAGTTTGATCCCAAGTCAAATCCATTCATCTTCATTGGCTATGTAGATCTAGAGTTCGGGTACGGGTTGTGGGATCCCGAAATGAGGAAAGTTATTCAAAGCGGAGATGTTGAGTTTCTATTCGAATACTGATTTAAGTCATTTGGTTCGGTTTTGGATTTCTTGAATAATCAAAGCGTAACAGCGCAAACTGACCTAAACTGGACCAACTAAATCGAAACTGATCGGCAAAACAGCCAATAACATCATTCAAAATAGTAACCAAATTCGCTATCTGCTAAGTGCTAACCTTTCCAGGGGAGGTAAGATTTGAATAAATTACCCAAAAATCTGATTAACTTTTTGTTTGCATGCAGAGGTTATCGGTTCTTAAGTTCGTTAACAGTCAGCTCGGGAAGGAAAAAACGACCAATTCAGGGTTATGACTGATTGATGGTCTTCGTGTGGATAACCCAGTATTAAAGATATCAGTTTGTATATTGCTTGGGCATAAACTGTTAGGTGTTTTATTGTTATTGTGACTACTACTAATGTCGCATTCTCTTTTTATCTGAATGTTTGTATTAAATTCAGGCGCACATTTCTTTTTTTCTATTGCAGATTGAATAAAGTTCAAACTGAACTTTTCTCGATGACACTCTTCAGTAGAGCTTATTTCTATGTGAAATGGGCTCAATCTTTTCCGCTCCATCCGGTCCCAAAAGCTCCATCCGTACGAATAAAATTTCAACATAATTTTTTATTAAAGATATCACTTACTACTCCTTATCACTTGCAAGGCTTCTGTTTGTAGCTTATTACTTTTATGACGAAATAAACATTTTCTCTTCAGACCAGAAGCCATTTAGTCAAAATAATTTCTGGGAACTCATAATTTCTACTTCATTTGTTCGAAGTGATTTTCGAATTTTGTAAAATGTCCCGAGTATGGATATGTTTCTTTTAATACTGATAAATGGCTACTAAATAACAATCTGGTTGTTTATCTTTTCATTTTATTTCACATCGCTGCTAAATTTAGACCAGACATATTACATATAGGTGTATTAGCATTGTCAATTCAAAGTAGCTTCGTCTAGGGGTGGGATCGGGATGATCCCGATGACCCGATCCCGATTCAAACTACAAGAGGATCCCGTATCCCGTCCCGATTAAGTCGGGATCCCGACATTAAAATCCCGATTAAGTCGGGATCCCGATCGGGAATCCCGCTTAATCCCGCTAAATTCCGACAATGAAGTATCAAACATAAAATTATGTAATTTCTTTAGTTAAACACTAACTTTGATATTTAGTGGTTTCAAGATTATTCTTTGTTCATTGTTATACCACATTTATCATCATCTACTTATAAAATTTATTGTAATAATTATCATCTCAAATTCACACTAGTACATACTTTTAGAATAATTTTTATTTGTAACTTCAATTAATTAATAGCATAATTTTTGAATAAGCTATCAAGGCTTAGTGAAACTTACTTCAAACATTATATAAAAATCACTAAAAGAAGGATGTGTAACATATATTATTTAAAATTCAAAACTAAATAGACTCATTGAGAAACTTTGTGACCAATGAATATAATGTATAAATACATATTATGATTATTTACTAAAGAAAGAAATCTTAGTCTCGATCATGATTTTGAAAGAGTTCATCAGAACCGCAAAATTTGTAATATTGTAGTGATTTAGATTGTCGGGATCAAGTATAATCTTTATTTAGTTAGGATCCCGAATATTAATTTTCGGACAAATGCCGAATAGTTTTAGAAGTTTGATATTGTAAGATACTCGTAGTAAAAGATTAATCTATGTAAGGAATAAGTAATTAATAAAGATATGCAAATATTTAGATACATATTCATTTTTTATAAATGTATATTCATTTTTTATATATTCATATATAATTATATACATGTGTGTGTGTATATAAATTTCTATTTATATATATATATATATATATATATATATATATAATGTCGGGATGTCGGGATTTTCCCGATCCCGACTTTAAAAAAAAACGGTCCCGTCCCGATTTAGTCGGGATCGGGAAAAATTCCTGACTAGTCGAGATCGGGATCGGGAGTCGGGAGTTTTTTCCCAGCCCTAGCTTCGTCTACACGTTGAAGGCTGACACATTTACATGCCTCGTTTTGTTTGTACAATTGTTTTTCATTTTTTAAGGTGAAAAAAATCTTTGTGGCACAATAAAAAAACATTTGTTTGTGACAAACATATAACTGATTCATTTTGGAGGGATTTAGAACCAACTAGGGTTGGACCGGTTTTGAGTATGTGTCGATTGTTGGTAATTTTTTAATTTTTTTGTTGGTTTTGGACCTTTGGTTAGATTTGTGGGGAACACTTGCAATGTGTCTAGTGTCTATCACTTTGCTGTCCGGATGAATCTTTACCCTGTCAAAATGAAATTGAAAAGGGTGAGAACGTAATTATTTTAGGCTTACCTTAGTTGGGCACTTGGGTTGTTCACTTGTTCCGTTGTTCGGATGAAGTGATGAACTAGCGTAGTTACCTTAGTTGGGTATCACTGTAACGCCCATCTCAGGGTTAAAGGAAACGTTACACTAACTTACTACTTTTAAAAATAAAAGCAATATAATGGTCATCTATTTAAGAAAATAACTCGGATAAAATCTCAAATATAACTAAAATATAGCTCCAAATAAAAACTCAATAAAATCTAGTTATCACCAGAAAATGTGATAACCACCTGGATCCAGGAATTTACTGAACTTCAAATCCTCAAATAAAAATAAAGTACTACGTAATATTTATCACCTAATTATAACACTGAAATACTGAAAACAAAATAAAATCTAGCTAGAAGCCGCCAAGGTCGTTCCCGTTAACTCATCTTGGCACGCGTTCCACTCTCTCATCATCTTCCTCGGCTTGGGCCTTATCCTTAGCTTTAGTATCTGTACATGCGAAGAAAGAAAACTGATAAGCTTTACGCTTAGTAAGTCACTATGGATCCACAAAAATATCTAGAAGTCTATGCCAATTTATCAATAGATAAATTTAGGCTATAAGCATGCACTGAACAAATAACTAAGACATAAGTTCTCAAATACATTCTGAGAGAGGTCTCAAAAGGAAAATATTTCCTAAAATAATTTCTCAAAACTGCTGGAGAGATCTCAACAAATATCTTTCTCAAAACATCTCTGTAAAACTTTCTGAAAGAGATCTCAAAAACACTTTCTGTAAAACTTTCTCAAAGAGATCTCAAAAACAACCTTCTGTAAAACTTTCTGAAAGAAATCTCAAATACACTTTCTGTAAAACTTTCTCAAAGAGATCTCAAAAACAACTTTCTGTAAAACTTTCGGAAAGAAATCTCAAAAACTTTCTGTAAAACTCTTTGTGGCTAATTTTACTCTGTGGGCCCGTGATATGTACTCAAAGCCGTCAATCCGACAGCTCAGGGGAGCGACCCACTAAACATATCGGACTCTCTGAAACTGATAACTGATAACTCTGTAACTCTGTGGGAACTTGTTCCCGAGTACATATCACTTAATCTTTCACTTGAAGTATTAGTTCTTTTTATAGTGACGTTTGGATAAAAACATCATTAAATCAGAAAATAAAAATACTGACAAACTCTTGACTATGCCAGATAATAATCATAACTTAATACAACAAATAAAATAACTCAGCAAATAACTCACCAAGTTCACATAATAGTAAATAGACTAAAATCATCTATTAAAAATCAACAAGACTTCTTTCTTTTATTTGGTTGAACAAACATGTATAAGTGGTAGTGAACTTACCTGTAGAAGCTGAACTCAAATTACTCAAATAAATGTGGCACCCTGATAATGTCTTCCGGTGAACTCTTCTTAGTACTCTTTAAATAAGTATAATAATAAAATTAGAATTCTCTAAGCTTCACATGAACTGTACAACTAACTTATTATATAGAATGCAGTTATTTAAATTAATGAAACATTCCGCAACTGCCCACTAAAACCAACATCAACTTTAAACCAACGTTTTCAAATAGGTAGATTCTACGGTACCCATAAGGTACCATACCTTTGTCCACATGGACCAATTAGAATCATGCAGTTGAATTATTTAAATCTAAATTAAAAGTAATTTAATGATTTGGACCAATCAAATGAATGGTAGGTACGGTACCCCCATTTTTTAAATGGGTACCGGAGTTGTCACCTTTCAAATAAATGGCTTTTGAATCTGTATATTACATTCCTTTTAGACTGAAACCAAAAGCAACAGCCTAAGTAGCCAGCGATCATCTCCTTTGGGTAATATAAATTTCAAAACGAAACTTTAAACACATTCTTACAATTTTACAATTCAATTGAATTTTCAAAACAGGTGCTAAACTATCCTTACGCCCCTTAAACATATCTAAAACCTAGATGGGTGTAAAATTAAACTCACCAGACTTAAGGTGATTCACGGCACAAGCGCCCATATGAGAGATGACAATTGTCAAAGAGAATAAGAGTGGAAGGGCTCCGGGGAACAGAGACATTCTATATATACGAATACACCTATGTTTCTCTTTCTAGTTCTAACCGGTGGGCGTAGCTCAACTGATAGCAAGGGAGTGCCACAAGGGTTAGGTCTCGGGTTCGAATCCCGGCAACTGCGATGAGGGGTTATTATGCTGAAAAATGCATAGGCCTCTGCAAGTACCGGGGACAGAGCCCTACTCTCTATCTGTCAGATTGTGATTATAGTCCAATTTACATCCTCCCATCGTGCCGTCCGGTCGGTGGTGGTGGGCCCTCAGGGATGGGGTGTCATCCTTTTTTTTTCTAGTTCTAGGGCTTTTAATAAGAAAAATACTCATTTAAAATTTCAATCGGGCTAAAATAACTAGCTTGGATTTTTTAAGTGTCTTTTAAATATGCATCTGACCCAAATGAAAAATATACCCTTTAAGGAAAAACTGAGGAAATCTAGAATGATATTTATTTCATCACTTAAAATTATTAGAGCTTACCGGTCAACTTTACCTGCCAAAACAACACATGATCAAACAATAAATCACACAATTCATAAAATAAACTTATTCAATTGACTAAATAAAATAAAATATTTATGTAACTAGATTGATAATCGGGGTGTTACAATCCAACTTTTGTTGCTCGTCCTCCACCAGGGCTCCTCCTTGGTATCGTCGTCCTCCAACTCTTCATTAATTTCGAGAAGGATTTGTTGATTTAGAAACCCTCAACCTTGTTGCATAAACAATTGCGCCATGTGTTCGTCTTACATCACATCTCTAAGGGTCAAAGACCATCTGTATCACATGCTGGGATCCTGGGGATGAAGATGTTGATCCCACGTGACGTTTATCACGGGACTGCGAAGAAGATTGAGAATTCAAAAACTAATTCTTATGATTGTGTGTGATATATCTGTGTTAATTGATTCTTAGAGTTTGACATTTTTTCAAATTTAATAAATGACTAAAAAATCTGAGAAGTAAAAATAGTGACTATTAGATTCTGACGGCTTCATGCCTAGTCATTAGGGGTGGGGGGAATATCAAAATTTTGATATTCCGCACTTATTACCATATAAAAAATATCGAATTTACTGAAATGTTTGGTATATCGACAATTACGTTACGGTATTCGTACCAAATTACTTTGGTACGATATCAGTATATACTTTGCAAATATACGGTATACCGGTATATCGTCATACCGAAAATGCAAGCTAATAATTCCCTTAAAATTATAAGTATGACTACAAACACAACATTAACTTAAGTATAAATGACTTTATATCCATGTTTTTTTAACTATTTATACTTTTTGTTGGAGATCGTTGTTATTTATTTATATCTACAACAACAACAACCAAGCTTTAGTCCCAAAAGATATTGGGGTCGGCTAACATGAATCGATACATGATATCACCACCAAAAGGAATTTTTATTTATTTATTTATATCTATATTACTTAAATTACTTTAGGTTATCGTTAGTATTTTTTTAATTCATCTTAGTAATGATTTTAGCATCTCACTACTCAAACCGATTTTTCATATGCCTTTTGTTCTCAATATTACAAAAATGAAGATAAAAGACAAAAAGGTGACCTCTTTTATATTTCCAAAAATGTGACCAACTTCACAATTATACCCTGCAGTGACAAAGTGATTCCGACCAAAGTGACTCCGGTCACCATGACCACCCGTGTAGTGACTTTCTCCGCCGTCTGAATTAGTGACTGCCGTCGTCGCCCGGATTAGTGACTGCCGCCACCGTTCGCATTAGTGACTGCCGCCGCCTGGACTAGTGACTGCCACCATCGCCCCGTCTAGTGACTGTCGTCGCTGCCCTCTATCAGTGATTGCCACTGTCCTCCGGCCAGTGACTGAGGCTGCCCCGCCCGGTGATTGTCGCCGCCCCACTAGCCAGTGATTGCCACAATCGCCTAACTACACCCCTAGTCACCGCCCGCCCTATTATAATGACACCACCACCAGTGACTCCGCCACCACCAATGACACCGCCACCACCATATTAACGCCGCACCACCGCCACCCCTGTTCCTTCCATAACCATTGCCCCCATCCTGTCCACAGCTGCCCCCGCCTCCTTCCCTAGCCATCACCGCCCCTACCCCAACCCTGCAAAACAGACCTGTTACTGCCCACCAGCCTGCACATAGCCCTACACACTGGCTCCCAACGGCCACTCCACACTCCCTATCCCCAACCCACCGCATGTCCTTCGTTGATGCCCCTTTCTGACATCGGTGACGGCGGGTCCAGCCCCGGTGACCCAAATCGGAGTCGTGGTACGTCGACGTTGGTGATCCGGCACCGGCGGCCCCATATCGGAGTCGTTTTCCATCGAGGACGGCAGATCTGGCAAAACATCTTCTACAGAAATCACTGTCGCGCTCTCCATTCCAGAAGGAACTATGATGTGTTCCCCAGATTCATCGCCCCATCGGTTTGAATGGAAGTAGAAGAAGGGAGATTGAGAAAATTTGATGGGGCCAATGACTTATTTGGGAGTAGCCGCAAGCTACTCTAGATGGATGGGGGCTGCGGCGGGCTACGGAGGCAATAGTACTTGACCGGTGGAGGCCTTATGAAGGCGACGAAAATGTGTGGTGTCTTGGCGAGGCAACGAAGTGGTACCGTCAAGTCATATTTTTGGAAAATATCAAGAGACTCATATATCTGGAATCCAAAATTCTATATTTCATTCGCCTATAATAATTTTCTATATTAAAATTCAAGTAAATCATGATAATTTATTGTAACCGCACTTTTATTGTACCGAAATTTCACTATACTGAAGCAAAGTATACTCACACCTGATTATATCGAAATTTCACTATACTGAAACCGCACTTTACCGAAATCTCGGTAAAGCGAGTTTGTATTTTTGTATATCGAAATTTACTGATTGGTAAGATATGAAATATAATATCGGGTAGACTGTACTGAACCTTCACTACTACTCACAGCAAATTATACCGTGCAACCGGCATACCATGCACATGGTATGCCAGTTGTTATACGGTGCCGTTTTTAATAACAACCCCAACAATATAGCACACACTAGCTAGCACTTCCCCTCCCTCGTTTCTCTTTTTTTCTTCTTTCTTGTCATACACTCCACTTATCTTTCCACCATCGTTTTTTTCATTCTATGTTTGCTTTAATTTTTTCATTATCAAAAGCAATCATGTTTCCATTTTTTTTTAATTTTAGAAACAATATAATGATGTATGTATTACAATTTTGAGATTAAATTTTCATCCTCTCAAAAGAAATTTATTATGTTTTTTTCTGTCAATCCTTATTCATACACTTTTTTTTCTTTTTTGCTTCAACTTAAATTACAATTAAAAAAATTAACTTATTTTTTCTTCAAAATAAATAATTTTATATTTTATACACTTGTATGATTTATATTTCAACATGTGTGAGTTGTGTTTATAGACAATTTTTGGAATTATATTTGATAGTATATGAAGTTACACCTTCTTATGCGCGAGTTACATCTGTTTATGCGTGAGTTACATCTTAATGTACGCGAGTTACACCATGAAATAAACCCTGCTAATGATCAAAAAATGATTTTTAACTATATCATTTTTTATAACCCTGATATTAAAAAACCATATTCACTATTTACAAGAAGTAATTAGGCAATTAAGATCAATTTTTAATTGTTTACATTGAAATCAATGTTGATAATATACATAAATGTTTTTTTCTTTTCTTATATGTATGTTGTATATATATAATGTACATATTTCTAGACTTTCATTTCAACTTTTCTAAGACTTACATTTTAATGTACGCGAGCTATATTTTAATGTAAACGAGTTACACCACTAAATAAACCATGCTAATGATAAAAAAAAATTAACTAAATCAATTTTTATAGCCTTAATATTAAAGATTCAAAATATATTCACTATTTTTAAAAAGTAATTGGGCATTAGGATCAATTTTTCATTGGTTACATTGAAATCAATATTTTTCCCCTCACATTCCGATTTTGATAATTTACATATCAATTTGACTCAAGTTACATTTCCTATCAACGTGAGTTACATTTTCGTAAACGGGAGTTACATCAACCCTGCTACTGAAACACAAAAAAAAAATTACTGTTCATCCGCGGCTACTGTTCATCCTCGTTTTACTCTTGGGAGCATGATGCTCATTGTGCGCCGGTACACGGTATACGAATTGACTACTCACATCTGGAATTTCTCAAATAAATTGGGTCCCAACCCACCGTTCGAAATTCAAGGTTCCGTTCCGCCTATATATATTATAGATAAGGTTTAAAAATCCCAATAATTTGAGAATGAAATTATACTGCTTTTTTTTTTGACAGAATGAAATTATACTGCTGATATATATGTGTGTAATGGAAAAGAATAATGAGATAAAGTTGAGACAAACATGTCTACGTTAGCTCCAAATCCCCAAATCCCATACAGAAATTTCCACCACAAAAAACAGCAGTTGTGGGGCATTGTGGGATGCTTGAGTTCGCACAACTCACATGGTATTGGAGATAAGGAAAGAGGTAAATGGAACCGGTGGGCGTAGCTCAACTGGTAGCGAGGGAGTGCCACAAGGGTTAGGTCTCGGGTTCGAATCCCGGCAACTGCGATAAGGGGTTACTATGCTGAAAAATGCATAGGGCCTCTGTAAGTACCGGGGACAGAGCCTCACTCTCTATCTGTCAGATTGTGATTATAGTCCAATTTACATCCTCCCATCGTGCCGTCCGGTCGGTGTTGGGGGGCCCTCAGGGATGGGGTGTCATCCTTTTTTAGGAAAGAGGTAAATGGAAGAAAGTAAAAAACATGGAATTGAGAATTGGTGGTTCTTGGTCTGATATGTTCAGTCCATCTTCCATGGAGATGCAACCCATCGAGGACTGTGAGCAGCTTGACCAGATTTTAGCTCAGGCTAAACATCTCTCTAAGCCCATCATCATTCATTGGTGAGCTACCTAGTACTCCCAAATCCCTCGTCCCATTTATATTATCCCATCTTTCTTTGATTGTCTCATGCCAAACTTGATTAAGTTTGTATGGTTTTAAATCATTCTTACTTTATTTTTACATATCAATTTAATATTAACCACATAAAATAATTTTTCTTAATAATCATGTCACCTTTTCATGTCGTGGGACAGAGGTAGTACTCTTTATGTTTTGCGTTACTTTCATGATTTAATGGTTGAATGATTAAGTGTATTACACATTTGTCCAAATATTTACATAAAAAACGGTATTAGAGCCTTAATGTATTTTGGAGGACTTCATCTATATCCTTTTTTAGGACATCATCTATATATTCACATATGAAAGGCATTTTATAAAGATGAAAGCTTGATATACTATGTGATCTTATAATATTCAAATTATTTCTCTTTTGTTTGTAAGTTGTTCTATTTATTAGCATAGATGTGATGGGGACGTGAGTAGTCATTTTAAAATGTGAACACATTTATAAAGATAAATTCCTATAAATAGGAGTAAAAACGTCTGCCCCACTAATGGCTCCAACCCTATTTATCGGCGATTGTCGCTCGAAAGTGCCATTGTTAAGAACTGTCACTAGGATATTTATTTTCCGGAAATCGCCGACGAAAAGTATTGAAAAATTTTTCACTAGGATTTTAAATTTATTTTTTATTTTTCATTGGAAAAGTTTTCCGACTATTATGCTGAAATATTTTATAGGAAATAATTAATTAGAAAATTCCACCTTAATTGATAAAAAATGTTATTTTATCCATTAGTAAAATAAACAGTCTCATTTAAAAATATCACTTAACATTTTTCATCAAAAATTAAAAAAACACAAATGATATTTATAGAATTAAAAAATATTAATTAAACAAAGTTAATCACATTTTGGGAAAATAAAAATTAGTCGTGTTTTTATCTTTCAAAGATGTATACTTTATATTTTTATCATTTTTCTGGACTAAATTTATAATCTAAGACTAAATTGGGTATTGCTGCAATAGTCTGGGACTATTTTAGCTATTAATTCTAGTTATACTGTCATGTAACTCCTATTTCAGGAAGAAAAACATAGGGTCCTATTTCGGAATTCCAAAACATGTTTACTCCTATTTCGGGAATTTTCCCATTTGTAAATAAGAACTTTTAATTTCACCTTTCAAATTTAAAATCAATTTCTAGAATCAACTAGGTCAATTTTTTAAATTATTTTAAAATAATTACTAAAAAGACCCCATTTGAATTTTCAATCTTTACTAAAAAGAGGTCATATACTATCCTCCGTTTTTTTTAATCGCAACATGCTGAATTTTACACTATTCACATGTTCTACTTTGACTACATTTTACGTTATTACTTTATAAAAATTATTTTTAAAAAAAATATTTTCCAATTAATCTCATTACAAGTTTTCAAAATCTGATTTTTATTTTTTTTACTAATAGAGATTAAGATATAATTACGATCAAAGACGTGTGTTGGCAAGTGTGAAATGTTGACCGTTGCAACTAAAAAAGAATGGAGAAAGTATGTGCTAACCATGATTGAAGAAAACAAAAGTTTGAGATGATAAATTCTCATTTTAAAAAATTCTCTCCAAAAAAATAAGTTCATGATATTACTTTCACGATTTTCAATGCCAATGTTTAGCCGTTAATATTTCAATATATATATATGTGTGTGTGTGTGTGTGTAATATATATATATATATATATATATATATATATATATATATATATATATATATATATATATATATATATATATGTGTGTGTGTGTTTGTGTGTGTGTAGTATTAAATAAAGTATTCAAAATAACTTGGGAGAAATAAAGTACTCTTTCCATCCCACGTACTAACAGCGGGACAAGAGGGAATGACACGCAAAACAATAAAAAGTGATTTAAATGGTTGATATTGAATTAATAAAGTAAGAATGATGTAAAGTCATACAAATATTATCAAATTTGGTATGAAACAATCATAGTGAGATGGACCGAAAAGGTAAAATGGAACAATATTAGCGAGATGGATGAAGTGTGATTTTTTAATAACTAACAATCAAATTTAACAAATTTGATTTAAAAAGTCAAAACATGGAAAAAGATGGAAGAAAGTGTGAATGGGCCTATTTTTATTTGTTTAGGTTTGAGTCTAGCTTGTTACTTGTTAAATGCCTATTTTACAACCATAATCTAGCCTATTTAACAATTTATCCTCGCCCGAAGCCTGTTTACTAATCCTATTAAGAATAAATAGTTCAAAAAATAAAGAATAAATGTGAAATCCTTTAAACACTATAAATTTTTTCTCCCAAATTAGTCTCTAAATAGTCTAATAATATGTTAGTTATGTAACATATAAATTTTTATGTACTTCGAATCTTGAAAAACTTTGAATTTCGGCGACTTTAATAACTTAACAACACATTATAAGATATGATTCTAATTTATGATGCACATTCCATAAAAACGCTTTTATGCGTAGTTTTTTATAGTTAAATATACTATATAAATAAAAACAAAAATAATACGAATAATTATAAATATAACTAATTGTATATGAAGTTTTTACATATATATTACTACAAATAATTAGATGAACAAAAAACTTACTAGTACGACATTAAGGAAATACTACCTCCGTCCCGGACTCCCGGTGAACTTTGCCAAGTGCAAAGTAGGTGAGAAATAAGAATAGTAAAAACTGTGTGGTTGAGATTTGTGCATAGGAGAGAAAAATGTGCAGAACCACAAATTAGTTGCTTTTATAGGAAAGTGACAAAGTTTTTTGGTACAACTCAAAAAAAAAGTTAGCAAATTCCAATGAGACGGAGGGGTAATAATGTCAAAGAATGGACGGACGGGGGAAACTACATATTTGCCCCTAGACGGTTACATTGAAAACGAAGATGTCGGCTCAATTTGTGGGAATTGGACGCAAGCGCCAAGCGGTGGATTGTAGAGAATTGCCGTGGTAATTTAATTGAAATAGGATTCATTTCAGATCCCCGAGCATTGAGGAAGCAAGAGGAAGAAGTACTAAAAGGAATTTCCCAATAAAATCAGATTTTGTATCATGATGCTTTATGAAAGTACAATGAATCCGACGAATAACAGTGCACGATTGTTTGCATAATTGTTTGACGCATGTTTGGCATTCAGCAGGCGGTTAGCGAATTATGTTAGCGGGTTGTGAATAACGGATTCAATTAGTGGGTTTGGGTACCGGAATAAATTGGCGGGTTGTTAGAAGATGTTTGGAATTTAGCTGTTTGGCCATTAAATTAGTGGAAAACACCTTTTTTTCAAAAGACCAACCCAAAACTCTCCAATTAGCAGCGTTTTCATTTTAGCGTTTCCGGCCAAAAATGCTAGTGCCGAACAGCTATTTACTAAACAGCTTTTTCAATTTTTTAAAACGCTAAAAGTGGTCAAACCGCCATTTTTTTGCTGAAACACCGCTTACCAAACACCCCATAAAAACGGAGACTGTAGGGTGTTGTTCTTTATCTTCCCAACGGTGTTTGTTAACCTTTACTTGTAGGGAAAACTGTCAAATAGGTCCTCGAACTTTCATAAAAAGGTCAATTAAGTCCTTCTATAGGAGGTTCTGTCCGGCCGTCGCGATTTGGGTCAGTTCCCGGTGGAATTTTTTGATGAAATTTTTTTAGCATCTTATTCACCAGATCTAGTTTACTCATACCAACTTTCAGCTAAAAATTCAATCGGGAACACATTCAAATTCATTCTTGAAGATAACTCCGCATTTTTGCGTTCTCGAATTAATTTGAATGCGCTCCCGATTAAAATTTTAGCTGAAATTTGGTATGAGTAAACTAGGCTCGATGAATAAGATGCTCAAAAAATTTCATCAAAAAATTTCACCGGGAACCGCCCCAAATCGCGATGACCGGACAAAGTCTTCTATAGAAGGGCTTAATTGACTTTTTTATGAAAGTTCGAGGACCTATTTGACAGTTTTCCCTTACTTGTATATTTTAGGATGGCTGCTTGGTGTAGAAAATGCATATTCTTGAAGCCAAAACTGGAAAAAATGGCTGCGGAATATGATTCAAAGTGAGGTTTCCATCCAGTGTATATACACTACTACTTTTTTCCCTTATTTGTTTAGTGTACTACTCTCACTCGCTTCGTTCTCGCTCTTTTTTGTGGGGTGCATAGAATCAAGTTCTACTGTGTGGATGTAAACCGGGTGCCCAAGGCTTTAGTCAACCGAGGAAACATCTCTGTGAGTATATTTATATACACAAGCCTCTTTTTTATACTCGTCCTGACACAGACAGTCATTAGGAATTTTTAAAACATATCACTAACTAAAATATCAAATAAGTTTTGGACATTGTTTCTTATTATTACACATTAGTAACAGATAGTGGTTGACAGTAGGCACGGACCAGTTCCGGGCCAGGACGGGCTCCGGACCGGTCCAAACCGGGTCTTTTATTTTTGGGGAAATGCCCGGAACCGGCCCGGGATTCCACCGGGTCCGGGCCGGTTCAGTTTTTTTTTGCTTTTCTAATTAACCCCCGACCCCCCCCCCCACCCCCCGACCCCCCCCAAACACCCAGCCCAACCCGGGAAAAAAATGAAGGCCCGAACCGGGCCCGGCCCGGCCGGTTCCTATTTTCCCTGACCAGAGCCCGCTCTTAGTATCACCCGGTTCGGGCCACCCGGACCGGTCTAGGTCCCGGTTACCGGGCCGGGCCACAAGCTGGTTGGCCCGGAACCAGTCCATCCCTAGTTGACAGCCCATGCTAATTGTTTCTTTTGACCGACGTATTCTCCAGAAAATTAACCCTTTATTTGTACTCATAGATGATAAATAACATCAAAAACGAAATCGAACAGTGTTGCTTTGTTTTATAGCCCCTCCCTCGTCCCTCCCACATAGATGAAACATGTTTCTTTTGTCCCACTAATTTGTCTCATACAATATTTGATAATAATTATGTGTTTCTAATTTATCGTTACTTCATTCACATTTTTTAATTCAATATCAATAATTCTTACAAGACGAATTGACTAACTAGTTTTAATGACTAATTTCTGCACTGACAACTTACTTCTCTTTTCCCAGAAAATGCCAACTATTCAGGTGACCCTTAAACCTGGAAATCCATAGGTCAACTCATTTATTTTCAAATACACACACAAACATACTTATTTATATATATAAAGTAAGTTAAATTTTGATGCAGCTATGGAAAGATGGAGAAATGAGAGGAGAAGTGATTGGAGGTCACAAAGCTTGGCTTGTAATTGAAGAAATCAGGGAAATGATACAAAAGTTCGTGATATGAGTGACTCTTCCTCATCAGATAATTATATAGATAGATGTTGTTTGCCACTCTTTTTTATTTTCTAGTATAGCTACATTCAAATGACTGTTTTATGTTTTAGAGTAAAACCTACAAATTAAAATCCTCACAGAATTAGGATGTGAGTTATCAATCAAATCTCGGTGGATTTCCGGCCACCGATGTGATGTTCAGATTCATATAGCATGTGATTTATGAGGCCTCTTGCAGCACTGCAGCAGCAACAACAAAAACATGATGAATGAGCATGCCCAACCAAGCCTTTTTCACGAGTACCAAACTTTACCTTAGATAATTGCACTGCTTAAATCGGTTGATAAAGAAAAGATGTTAGTGGTGTTACTTTTTGAACACAATTGAACCCTCTCTTTTGAAAAGATGTTAGTGGTGTTACTCTTTGAACTGTCCTAGCATGGGTAAGAGTGAATCATGACCAATATCAGGTCCCTACCCGGCTTAGCGTTTGAATCATCACCAGCAAAGGCAGCTAATCTTGTAGAGGATGCAAGAGCTGCAAGCTTTGCTTCAGCACTAACCTGCCAATTGCCTCCCAAACACCCATCACCAATTCCAGTAACAAATCCGAAGGCTATAGCCGGTTTATGCATAATATCAAGCTCAATTGATGCAGTATGTTCATCTTCAAAGGGAACCTGTCCAATAAGAGCAATGGTTTTTGCTACCCCACCCAATCCTCCCCTCTCACAATCCCTGCGCAATAGACTTGAAATCATACTGGGTGAATCAATATCAGTTGATAACACAGTTCTATCTGAAGTTTTAAGATCTGCAATGGTCAGATCAACAACTAACACACTGCCACCAACCAATACACATGTCACTCTGTTGGATACAGCCTTCATCAATACCTCACTTAGGCCCAGTGCAGCTTTAGCAACTGTCTCTTTGAGCAAAGCAAGTTGTGAAAGAGGGCTAGCATTGACCTCAACATTTCCTGCACCTTCCGAATTATCTGGTGGGCGTCCCGTGGGTTTCCTATCATCACCGCTCGTTTCCATAAACGTGAAATTAATGCCATAGATAGCAGAGAATGTGGGCATGTTTGACTTACTTATTAATTTGGAAGACAATTGTTTGTTCCCCGGCTCCCAGACCATAAGACTTTCGATATTGTTCCATCCACATTCATTCAGCCTACCATATGTGATCCCAATAGTTAAGTGTTGTTGAATAGTATCAAAAGGCAGGATAGATACAATGGTTTCATAACCAGCAGTAACTACTGCTTTCTTTCCTTCATCAGTATTCAATTCTAATGAAATACACAAAGATCATACATTTATCAGACCAGATTAGAGCATATCAGATTCAAACAAACCAGACCAACAAATTCCAATCCAAATGAAAACATTCTAACAATTTTTTTTTTTTGAAACGAATTTTGAAAAGTGAAAAAGTCACACTACTCACATTTTATTAGTCTATTTGTGAAAGTTTCCGAAAAAGGGGCTGATAGCCGAAGAAGTAAGAAACTTTCAATTTTAGATGATCCAAACAAGCTAAGTAGTTTCCATTGGGCCGGCCCATCGACCTCGAAATTTCCAGACTCTTCTCCGAGCGTCGCTTCTCTTCGTCTCCGATCTTTACAAATTCGCCAGTCTTGCTCAGTAGTCATATACGCGACTCTATTATTACCATTTCTAAGCTCCTTCTAGAACATTGTTCATAGATAGCATTCTTTTGACGCCAGAGTATGGCTAGATTGGGAGAAGGAGACAAGAGATGGATCGTGGAAGATCGCCCGGACGGTACCAACGTCCATAACTGGCACTGGGCTGAGACCGACTGTCTCGAATGGTCTCGCAGCTTCTTTAACAAGCTTTTCAGTAATCAAACCATCCTCAACGGAGAGGGTAGTCTCTACATCCGTATCAAAAAGGTCGATAAGCTTGACGGCGAGGCCTACGTCAACGTTCGGAAGGGTAAAATCATCCCCGGCTACGAACTAAACCTAGTTCTCTCGTGGGAAGGTGAAGCCAAGGATTCCGAAGGGAAGTCTTTGGCTAAGACCGATGGAACAGTCGAAATCCCTTACATTTCGGATGAGAATGCGGGCGAAGACCCTGAAATCAGAGTCGCCACTCGTGAAGATGGGCCGCTCGAGAAGAGATTGAAGGATGCTTTTATTACTACTGGAAAGCCCTTTGTACTGGAGCAAGTAAGAAGCTGGGTAAATGCAATGGCCAGCGGTGGGCCCGCTAAGGATGAGCTCGAGCCAAATTCTGTTTCTAAGAAGACTGTTGCTCCGTTGGCTGCTGAGAAGGAGAAACCAGCCATTAAGGAGGTTGTGAAGGAGAAGATGACAAAGAAGAAGGAAGGTTTTAAGACGATTACAATGTCTGAGAAGTTCAATTGCAGGGCAAAGGATCTGTATGAGATATTGATGGACGAGAATAGGTGGAAAGGGTTCACACAGAGCAATGCCAGGATCAGTAAGGTCGTTGGGGGAGAGTTTAGCATATTTGATGGCTCAGTGAATGGGAGAAACTTAGAGCTGCAGGAAAGCAAATTGATTGTACAGAACTGGCGATTTGGGAGCTGGCCAGATGGTATCCTGTCCACGGTATGAATGCATAATAATCTTTACATTTCACTTCTATTTATGTTCTCAATTCATGTTCTTCATTTTTATGTGTTCTTTTATTGATACTCGTATGTTTTTTATTATTAATCTTATTACCATGCACAATTTATTATGCTGAGGTGGTATGGTTCGAAGGATATTATAAACTGCAGTTCCGTTTGAGGCTCCATTAGGTAAATAAGCATTAAAAAGCGTGTTTGGTATGCCCAAATGGGCTTGTTAGCCCGATAATTTGGCTTGACCTACAAGCTCCATATGCCTGTGGATGCTGCTGATTTATTGTATGCGAAAAACTCAGTGCACCCATGCTGCTTTAGGCAATAGTTCAAACTAAAATTGGTTACGGATATTGTTATGTAATTATATATCCCATAAGTCATTGAACACGGACAATTACTGAGTACTTTTAATTCAGCCATTTCAACCTGAGTCAACCCTATATGTAATCACCATATGGGCTCTAAGTAGCTTTTGACTTGCTGATTTGGATTTAATGAATGTTACAAGATATACTCTTTAAGAATTTAGCAACTCCGTCCATTTAAGATGAGCAAACATAACCAAAAAAGGGCCCTGAAAGGGCTGTTAATGGTTAGATGTTATCAATGGTAGCTATATTAAGTTAAACCTACTTATGGAACGGATATGGGTTGCTTGGATGGGATCTAACAGAAATTTGGTATCATTATTCTGCCCAAGGAGTGGAAAATTAAAGCACTGATCATTCCAAATGCCTCCTAAGTATCGTAAAACAGTTCTTGATGTTGTTGCTATTCGCTTAAAAGTTGCCCCCCTGATAAATTAGAGGGTAGCCATTAGTCAGTAGTGTCTTGTGTATGTATTGCCCAACCTGTCTCTGTTGTTAATGATAGCTACCAACAATATGAATGAATTTGGTACTGATATGAATGTGTTTTTTTGTTTTACTTGCCATCCTAAGTGGTCAAATTGGATTCCTATTCCATCCCCCCCCCCAGCATTTGGTGATAGAATTTATTTAACAATTGAGGAAAGAATATAAAGCTAGCTCAATCTACCATTATCATTGAGTACAATGATAATGCAAATTTATCCACCCTAAAAGTGAAGACTATTTGGAAATGAAGACTATTTGGAATTGTAAATTATAACTGAGTGGGAGAAAATATTTGTATAGAGAATGCCACAATAACTCAGTATGGCATCAGATTGTTTAGAGGTTGTTTTGGTGTTGTTTTTGTGCCCTTGAGTGGCTTGATGTGGGGGGTATGCTCCTGGTGGTCATGTACAGGTTCTGCAATTTATTACTACGTAGTTTTACGGTTCCACCAAAGAACAAGTATGGCATCAGGATATATGAACTATGAAGTGCAGAATTGAGTTGGTGAACCAGGATATATAACTACAATTTCATTTGTGGTGTGTAATCCATATGGTGTAACCTATGGTGCCCCTCTAGCCTTTCCTAAAGGGATACTAATCGCCGCCTGTCTAGCACCTTATTTTGTTAGAAATGCATTGCTTGAATTTTAGTTTTTTTGTAGGTCCGTCTCACTTTTGATGAGCCTGAACCTGGAGTTACTGTGGTTAAGTTGGTCCATACTGATGTACCAGAGGAAGACAGGTCAGTAATCTGATTCGTTTAATGCTTTTGGTTGGAACTTGGAAGTACGATTCGAATCATGTCCTGCTTAATTTGTTTATAAAAAAGTAGAAAAATCTAAATAAGTAGAGCATTTGACCTTGCTCATTTGGCTGAAATGGATGGTCCCAAACACTTTCTTTTAAAAGCATTCAGTGGTCTCGGCCATTTCAGCCAATTTACCAAATTGGTACAGGCTAATTTTTGCTCTCAAGTGTTCGTTCTTTCTGATATATAATTATATGATGTTATTATGTACAGATATGGAAATGAAACTGTGGTGGAAAACACCGAGAGGGGATGGAGGGATCTCATTTTTCACAAGATACGAGCTGTATTTGGTTTTGGAATTTGAGTCAAGCCCCACACTCATATATGAGTTGATATCTTCTTCTATTGTAGAATTTCACAATTTTTTTTCTTGACTGTCGAGTGTTAACTCGAGTGGGATTGTCTTGTAGTCATTTGTTTTTCGGAATCGGCGTTGGTACTCGGTGGAAAACACTTTTGATAAAAATGAAGGATATCGATTAGCTACATGGTTACTTTTTATTTCCGGGAAGTCCAATCCGCGCTTACCTTGCTTTTGGTATTTGTTAATCGAATGATAATTACTGGGAGAACGTTTGGGAAGGGATCAAGGGTGGTTATAAAGCTAAGCACCGAAAGATACAATTATGGAACGTTTGGGAAGTCTCACTCTCTATCTATCTGTTAGATTGTGATTATAATCCAATTTACATCCTCTCATTGTGTCATTTTAGTTAATTCACTTTTCCACAAATCAACCAAACATTTTTTTATACAATAAAAATAATAGTTTATTGAAATATTTTAAATTTGGAAAAATGTAGATGTTATTTCAATTTACATCCTCCCATCGTGTTATCCAGTCGGTGTTGGGGGTCCTCAGGGATGGGGTGTCATTTTTTTTTATGGAAATGTTT